CCAATGGCTTACCGGCAATGTACCGTGAATCCTCTATTAACCCCACCCACCTCTTCAAGGAAAGAAAGTTAATATGACCCCCCTCTCTTTTAAGCCCCCCTCCTCCCCTCCCCCTTATCACTCTTTACTTATAAATGTTGGACTGTATTAATCAATCATGGCTGTAAAACTTCGTGTGGACTGATCCAGGATGGGTGATTCACCAGCTGGAAGTTCGGATTTGTTTTTGATCCTCGGCTGCATGACCTCCGACTTCTTGTACTTGAGTTTTTCCACTTTGCATTTTAGTTCTTTACGGACAACTAATACTATCACCTTTGCTAAATTAAATAAGTCCCCCCTCTCAAATAAGCCCCCCGTCTCTACCGTGAAAAAAATAAACCCCACTTGGAGGATTTATAAGGAATACTCACCAGTTGTCCTTGTCTTGCTTGGCCGTGGTACTTGACTACTTCCGGGTTTAGGGATCTTTGATCTGGGACCCTGGGGAGCATTCGTACTGATTCTGTTTGTCTTGCGAGGAGACAGGGGCATTTCCGGAGGGGCAAATTGCACCCGTGGGGGTGAGCGAGATGACATCGGGTTTTCTTTCTGTAGACAAGGAAATACGTAGATTTACAATTTTTTCAGTTCATGGGAAATACAGGTAACACGACAGACTCGTTTTTCAGTTATTAAATATTAAGAATTGGTTCATGCTTAGTGTGCGAATATCGAGTTGTGGATACATGTGGTTAGTAATGCCCGGTCATTACAAGAAAACAGCCAATCAAAACGCGTGTGCTATTGTAGCCATATAATAAGATATGATCCCTATTAACACTTTAAACCCTAAGAGTGATCAGCATTAAACTTCTCCTTGTAATATCAATGCTTTGTAAAACAGAGTGGTCATGAGAATTACGGACATGATCAAACAAGATGAATTTGCTTGATATTTTATCAACTTCTCCCCACTACTTCTGTAGGAAATGAATAGGGGCAACAAATGAGAATTCAAATTTTGATCTTAGGGTTTATAGGGTTAACTTACATGATCTTGTGTAGAAGTTGTTGTTCGTGTCGTCAGCCTCTTTGTTGTACTGCGAGTTTTCACACCAGTGGTAGTTGCAGTGGTTCGGGCGGGCATACTGGTGAATCCCTTACTTACCACTTCAGGGATCCCCCCGGGGACTTGTTGCTCTGAAGGAGCCGAAGTACCGCTGTACAGTCGACAGCGTTTGGCTTGACTGCCTTCGGCGACTGTTGAAAAAGAAAATCATGTAAGTCCAAAGATTGAAATTGATGGAATTCTTCGAAAAACAAGCGCCCCGATTCTTACCCAAAACTATCCCTTGTCTTTTGTTTCTAAGAGCAAAGCGAAGGCGACATTTAACAATAAAACAACGAAGGGGGTATTATAGTCAATAAAAAAATATCACATATGGGTCAATTAAGTTCTTCACGCCTCATCCAAATATTAAGTAAACGCCTAGGGCAAAGGACGAACGCTATGCAGTTAAACTAGAAGGCGTGTCTGGTCAGGTGGAACCACTAACAAAACCAATGTTAAAAGTTACTCATCGATCACTTATCTTGAATGCGATGCCGGCACCAAATGTGGTTTGTGTTTTTAACCCTTTTTGACAAACCAAATCGGTGAGTTCTGCCGTTTGAAACTAACACTACCAAACATACCTAGTTCTCCTGGTCTTTTCTTGCTGTCCATGGATTCAGATGGTTTGGGAATACCTCTTCTAGTAGCCACGCCCATTATTCCGTGACTTGAACCCTTCTCTTTCTCAATCTGCGGCACAGAAGAGGTTACGGTTTCTCTCTCCTCCCGCGACGGTCTCCTTTCATTTGTACGTACAGCCACTGGCTGCGCGCTAACAGCAGCCGCCGTCGTCACTTGGGTTGTAGATGATGAAGCCTCAGGTCTTTTTTCCGCCGTATCAGTTGCAGCTGTGTTTAACGACTTGATGTCTAAACTTGCCATGGATTTTGCGAGAGGCGAGAAAACACCAGGATTAAGTGCAGCCTCTTTTACGCTCACGCGAGGTCTTAGTGGGCCTGCGGAACTTGGTGTAGCTCTTTCATCACTTGCGCCTTCTTTAGGCGACGATCCGTGACTGGGGTTATTCTGCGGACTTTCTTTCCCTCGAGTAAGTTTTTCAATCTTACTGACAAGCTTCAAGTTTGTAGCCAGAGTTTTATCAGCCGCTTTTCTCTTTTCATCAGCCAAAGCTTTGCTCTTTTCCAACTCCTCTTGCAGTTCACTTAATTTCTGTTGAAGGCGTTTAATCTCTACGTCTTTATTAGTACTAACATCGGTTTTCTCCTTGTTATTAGCAATAGCTTTCCACTTCAAAAGTTCCTGGTTAAGTTCACTAATCCGAGATTGCAGGCGTTTTATTTCGTCGGCTTTTGCCGAAAGTTCTTTTCTACTGCTATTCGCTTTCTCCTTGTTATTAGCAATTCCTTTCCACTTTTGAAGCTCTTGATTCAGCTCGCTCACTCGCGTTTGAAGGCGCTTTATTTCCTCTGCTTCAGCGGAATTCCCTTTGCTCTCTAACGAGATCACTTTGAGCTTCGCCTGATTAAGTTCTTTTTCTAGTCTTTCTTGACTGCTCTTTGCCTGATTAAACCTGATTTTCGACTCCTCTAACTGATGTAGAAGCTTTTTCTTCTCTTTGCTCCAAGCAGACTGATCATTCCCTCCAGTGGAACCGCGCTTTAACTGTTCATTTTCTCCTTTCAACAACGCGCAGTCACTGTTAGAATCTCTCAGCTCAAACTTAACTTGATCTAACTCTGCTTCATATTCTTCTTTTAATCCTTCACTCCTTTCCTGCGCTTGTTTCAGCTCTTCCTTTGCCTGCGTAAGCTCTTTGCATTTCTGTTTGAACTCTTTCTCCAGCGTTTCGAATTTTCCTCGAAGATCTTCGTACGCAAACGTCAGCTTCTCTTCCCTCGCTTCCCCCAGTTTAAGCATTTTCTCTACTTCAACAAGCTCCCTACTCTTTTGCTCCGCATGTGCCTTCTGTTCTTTCAGAAGCCCTTCCATCTCGTCTGCAACTTGCAACAGTTCTTTTTTGTTATTCTTCTCTTTATCAAGCTTTTCTTGGAGTTCCTGCACTTTCTTAGCTGAATTTTCCAGATGCATTTTCTCTTGTGTGTTCTGTAGTACCGATACATCTTTTTCCTTCTCTAAAGCGCCTTTCTCTACTTTCAAAGCATCCAACTGCTCGCTCATTAGGTCGCATTTCTGTTGCAGCTCCGTCGCAGCTTGGCTCGAATTTCTCAGCTTTTCTTCTAAAACTTCTGTGGTTGCTAGCAACTTAGCTTTTTCTTCACTCATGTCAGTGATTTGAGATTCTCTACTCTGTAAAACGTCCTTTAGTCTTTCAGATTCTGAGCGCAGAGAATCGACTTTGTTGTGTAAGTCATCTTCTATGACCTAAAGAAAAATAAAAGGGAAAATAAAAGTTTAAACTGTTCGAGTCAAAAGCAACGAATCCCCGGCAACAGTAATAAAACCCACCTCCAAGTAACCTAGTTATTTAGAACCTGTAGGATTTGCAAAAAATTGTCTTTCGAAGCCCTATTATATGTGAACCAATTGCGCCCAAAAATTGAAACAGGTTCTGATATTTGTATGGAAAATCAGAAGACAATAAATCAGTAAATCTAGGCAGGGTGTTTGTGATCTTGCTTTTCAGAAATAATTATATGCCTCTCTCTCAAGACAGGAACCACACGCATTTGGACGAAACTGGACGGTTCCAGTAGGTGGGTCTTCAATGTTTTACCGTAATTGTTTATTTCCATGATAAATTACCATAAATCCTTTATCAAGCTCCCCTCTAATAAGTCCTCCATATTCACGGGGAAGAAAGTTCTTTTAAGGCCCGAAACCTCCCCTCCCACTTATTAATCTTCAATAATAAATGATACACTATGTTAATCAATCACGACTGTTAAACAGCCTGGACTGATCCGGGATGGTTTATTCACCAGCTGGAAGTTCGGATTTAATTCTGAACCTCAACTGCATGACCTCCAACCTTCTTGTACCTAAGCTTTTCCACTTTGCAGTCATGTTCTTGACGAAGAACTGATATAATCGTCTTTGCTAAAAATCTTGCCTATCTCTTGATCATGAAACAATAATTTTCACCGTTGCTAGGAAGCCTTTTTAATAGAGCGATTTTCATATGACCTTGAAAAATGGTTTCAGTAAGTGTTTGTTATTTGTTTTATCAGCCAATGGATGAAAAGAACAAAACATGGACTCCTCGTTTTCCCGCCAAAGAAAACCCTAATATGGAGAGGGCATTGTTCGATTGACCAATCTTGTTGCAGTATGACGTCAAAGCAATTTCTAGAAAGTTCTTCGGGCATGAAGTTTTTTCAGCCGAGCGTTCGCTTAACCCAGGCGCGTTTGTACCCGTTCGATAAACCAATCAAATCGCTGTATTTCCGCTCGTTTGTTGTTTTTGTTTTGTTCGCGCGTTTTCATTTAAGGTCATACGAAAATCGCTCTAACAGGGCTCGAAATTAAAAAAAATGTCTGGTCGCAAATTTGCGACTAGTTACGAAAATTTGGTCGCAACTTTGAAAATGTTAGTCTTGAAATTAATTGAGGCCATTTAATCAAGAAATAAGTAGGCTTTTAAATGATTAACGCTTTAATTTTCATTCTTTCAACAGCTTTCATGTCATTTCGAGACTTAATAGTACAGAACGTTTAGCGTCTCGGACAACACCAGTTCATCTAAACGATCAAGTTGAACCTGCGTTAAGGCACATAAATTAGTGTCTGTTATTTTAGTCAAAGCGATAGATTTCCAAATCATGAACAGATATTACAGCAGGAAACTGCAGTTCTTAAATGCCTCCAATCTCTGCAAAATAGCAATAACATTTGTACTGGGCGGACATCCGACATGGTTATAGGTTACGTTACGTAACTAAATTCCTTTAGTTTTACCTTTTGCAGGTTTTCCACCGATGACAAAACAAGTAACGAATTCTTTTATATATTAAGCTTTACATCTGAAGTATCAGGGGTGTTACTACAGTGATTATTCAAAGAACCCTGAAGGACTGAATCATTCAATACGACGATACGTGCCATGCGGACATTCCGCCATCTTTGTTTGCTAAACCTCGTTTTCATGTATACGTAGATTCGCAACCCACTTTGAACCGATTTATTTTACATGTAAATCTTCGTTTAAAATGTGACCTTTGAAACAATTTAAGTCGCTTTCATCCGACATAATTGACTCACTAAAGAAGAACACATGTGTACTGTGAGGGCCGTAACGCGGGTCATAAACGCGGGAAAAGTCCTCAGCATGCTGGCGGGACTGTCAGCGGCAAATCAAAACGAAATATGAGCCTGCAATGTACATGTTTACAGAACCCGCTGAAAATGGCGTGCTGTTGAAGATCGTTGCGTGTATGCATTCCAGGTAAATTACGGTAAACCTTCAGATTGTAACAAAATTATAAGACGCTACTTCAATGAATCTTTTTATTTCTAAATTTATTTAAGCAAAAATTCAAGTCCTTTTATTTCGTATCAGTTAAGGCAAAACCTAGTCGCAAATTTGCGACTAGTCTCATTTTTCTAGTCGCAAATAAGAAAAATTAAGTCGCAAATGCGACCGTATCGGTCGCAATTTCGAGCCCTGTCTAACAAATAAAAGCAAGAAAGACATTTCTCCAACCTCTCTTTCGTCGCTATCACTCTTATGCCGGGTTTGCATCTCGCAAAGTTTCTTTTGTAAAGACGAGTTGTCGCTTTCAAGTTCGTTTAACTTCTGTTCCAGTCCGTTACATTTTTCCTGTAACTGCCCCACGTTTTGACGTTCCTCTTCCAAATCTGAGATATACTGCTGAATCTTTTCATAGCTGAAGCTCCCTGAATTCCACTGTTTCTTCTGAGCGTCAAACTCTCGCTCCCGCTCTTCGGCTTCTTCAAGCATGACATTCTGTAAAGAGTTTACAAGATAGAAATAGAAACCTTTAGCAACCACGGCTCGGACTTGTGGACGAGATGCGGATCGAAAGTATTAAATACTTCTTGAATTTGATTAGTGTTTCCGATTTGAGAACGGCAATACAATGTAGATGTGAATATTTAATTTTCAATTTCTTAACGTACCTTTCCGGTCATTAGAGACATTTAGCACCCAGGTTTCCCGTTAACCGCAAAGTTTCAGTTTCGGCGTTTGGGGTTTGAGTTTTGTGTCCACTACCCGTTTTAGCTACACGTTTTCAATCTCAAGCAAATTTCGAAAAAACATGAAACAATTATTTAACGTGAAGGGGCCACCATATTGAATTTACAGACAACAGCAGTGTGTTCTTGTCTTTTCAAATGACAATAAAAAGTCTTATTTTCACGACAAATGACGTCTAGCCTTTTACTAACAGGAACGATCTACATAGCTTTGTTATTAGTGAGCTTGAGCAACGATAACGGGAGCGGCTACGAAAACGTGCACGGCTGTACTCTAAGAAAAATTGAAAGGAGCTCAGTGCTCTGAACCTGTAAAATCTAGGGTGCCAAGCATATGATTTGTATGAAAACAGAAAGATTTCCTAGTCCCTCGAGAGCAAAAGTAAGGCGCCACGGGCCACTGGGCTCTGCAAGAGCACAGCCCTGGATGTCATTTAAATAGTGAAGTCGCGCTGTTTCAAACGTTAACCCGCTTCAATATTCCATTTCGTTCAATTCGTCAAATGTTGACAATTTTTTCTGGAGTTGAATTGTAAAAGACTCGGGGAAAAGAAAAAGAAAGTCGTCGTCTTGTGTTCACGTCCTCCGCAAAACGTGAAATTAGGCAGTTTCACGTCGTAGTCGTGCAGCGACGGCAAAGAAGTGTACAAAAAAGCGTGATGCACGTGCAAAGTTGTTGTTTTGCTTGTCATGTCTAACCCTATTGCTTTTTTTCCATTCTCGTTGCCGTCGCCGTCGCCGTCGTCGTTGCTTATTAGGGACCTTAAGCAACAGCGTTTTTGAGCGACGGACGTCAACCGGAAGTGGACTTTTTGCATCATTAGACAGTGGTTTGGTTCAAACTCTCGGGTAAATCGTCTTGGTAAGAGAAAAGAAACTTAGAAATACAAATTTTGTTAACTTCAAGGCATATTAAAAGGAGAAGGCCTTACTTCCGGTTGACGTGCGTTGCTCAAAAACGTCTTTGCTTAAGCTCCCTATTATTAGTACGTGGCCCAAACATTAATTCAGGACAAAAGATGTTCACGTTAATCAATCACGTGAAAGCCAACCTCCAGGCGTTGAAAACCCGCGATGAGAACTTCAAAGGTTACCTCAAGGCTTATTCACGTGACTTCTAGAGATTTGCCTTTTGAGATTTTTGCTGAAAACCTGTAACCTGAGATCAGGCTCAATTTTCGTTTCGCTTTGTAATAACATTCCGGCGGGCAAGGCGAAACGAAAACCAATTTTAGCGGTAGCCGTTAGAGAGAATCAGGGCGGATAACGGTTGGGCGGTGAAACGAGCGCTCCGCTCTTCATTTAATGTGTGATGCGGAGTAGCACTGGCACGAGCGCTCTTTCCGCGCTTCCGGTGCGCTTGAAGGCCGGCGAAATCTTCCTTTTTGCAAACCGGAAATTCTATTTTCTTTCTGTAATTTCAGGCTACAGTGTTAAATAGATAAATTTGTTTCATAACAATATCAATAAACAGTTTATATGTTTGTGTCTGTACGTCTATAAGTCAAACTTGTTGGTCGTATAATGCCGAAATTTGAGTTTAATTTGAAAGTGTTGAATACCTCCTCCTTCCACTAAATATCACCTAATTGTCTTTCGCCGTTTACCATTAGCTTGCTGGCCATTTACCGTTAATCCTCTATAAACTCCACCCCCCCCCCTCTTTAGGGAAAGAATGTTAATATGACCCCCCTCTCTTTTAAGCCCCACTCCTCCCCTCCCCATCATTATTCTTCACTTATAAATGTTGGACTGTATTAATCAATCATGACTGTAAAACTTCGTGTGGACTGATCCATGATGGTCTCTTCACCAACTGGAAGTTCGGATTTGTTTTTGTTCCTCGCCTGCATGACCTCCGACTTCTTGTTCTTGAGTTTTTCCACTTTGTATTTTAGTTCTTTATGGACAACTAATACTACCATCTTTGCTAAATTAAATAAGTCCCCCTCTCAAATAATCCCCCTGTCTCTACCATGAAAAAAATAAACCCCCCTTGGGGGCTTTATAAGGAATACTCACCAGTTGTCCTTGTCTTGCTTGGCCGTGGTACTTGACTACTTCCGGGCTTAGGGATCTTTGATCTGGGACCCTGGGGAGCATTCGTACTGATTCTGTTTGTCTTCCGAGGCGACAGGGGCATTTCCGGAGGGGCAAATTGCACTCGTGGGGGTGAGCGAGATGACATCGGGTTTTCTTTCTGTAGAAAAGAAAATACGCAGGTTTACAATTTTTTCAGTTCATGGGAAATACAGGTAACACGTCAGACTAGCTTTTCACTTATGAAATATTTAAGAATTGGTTCATGCTTAGCGTGCGAATATCGAGTTGTGGATACACGTGGCTAGTAAAGCCCGGTCTTTACAAGAAAACAGCCAATCAGAGCGCGTGTGCTATTGTAGCCATATAATAAGATATGATCCCTATTAACCCTTTAAGCTCTAAGAGTGATCAGCATTAAATTTCTCCTTGTTATATCAATGTTTGTAAAACAGAGTAATCATGAGAATTACGGACATGATCAAACAAGATGAATTTGCTTGATATTTTATCAACTTCTCCCCACTTCTTCTATAGGAAATGAATAGGGGCAACAAATGAGAATTCACATTTTGATCTTAGGGTTTATAGGGTTTATAGGGTTAACTTACATGATCTTGTGTAGAAGCTGTTGTTCGTGTCGTCAGCCTCTTTGTTGTACTGCGAGTTTTCACACCAGTTGTAGTTGCAGTGGTTCGGGCGGGCATACTGGCGAATCCCTTACTTACCACTTCAGAGATCCCCTCGGGGACCTTTTGTTCTGAAGGAGCCGAACTACCGCTGTACAGTCGACAGCGTTTGGCTTGACTGCCTTCGGCGACTGTTGAAAAAGAAAATCATGTAAGTCCAAAGATTGAAATTGATGGAATACTTCGAAAAACAAGCGCCCCGATTCTTACCCAAAACTATCCCCTGTCTTTTGTTTCTAAGAGCAAAGTGAAGGCTGCATTTAACAATAAAACAACGAAGGGGGTATTATAGTCAATAAAAAAAAAAAATCACGTATGGGTCAATTAAAATCTTCACGCCTCATCCAAATATTAAGTAAATGCCTAGGGTAAAGGACAACGCTATGCAGTTAAACTAGAAGGCGTGTTTGGTCAGGTGGAACCACTAACAAAACCAATGTTAAAAGTTACTCATCGATCACTTATCTTGAATGCGGTACCGGCAGCAAATGTGGTCTGTGTTTTTAACCCTTTTTGACAAAACGAAATCGGTGATTTCTGCCGTTTGAAACTAATACTACCAAACATACCCAGTTCTCCTGGTCTTTTCTTGCTGTCCATGGATTCAAATTGTTTGGGAATACCTCTTCTAGTAGCCACGCCCATTATTCCGTGACTTGAACCCTTCTCTTTCTCAATCTGCGGCACAGCAGAGGCTACGGTTTCTCTCTCCCCGCGAGACGGCCTCCTTTCACTTGTACGTACAGCCACTGGCTGCGCGCTAACAGCAGCCGCCGTCGTCACTTGGGTTGTAGATGATGAAGCCTCAGGTCTGTTTTCCGCCGTATCGGTTGCAGCTGTGTTTAAGGACTTGATGTCTAAACTTGCCATGGATTTTGCGAGAGGCGAGAACACACCAGGATTAAGTGCAGCCTGTTTCACGCTCACGCGAGGTCTTAGTGGGCCTGCAGAACTTGGTGTAGCTCTTTCATCACTTGCGCCTTCTTTAGGCGACGATCCGTCATTGGGGTTATTCTGCAGACTTTCTTTCCCTCGAGTAAGTTTTTCAATCTTACTGACAAGCTTCAAGTTTGTAGCCAGAGTTTTATCAGCCGCTTTTCTCTTTTCATCAGCCAAAGTTTTGCTCTTTTCCAACTCCTCTTGCAGTTCACTTAATTTCTGTTGAAGGCGTTTAATCTCTGCGTCTTTATTGGTACTAACATCGGCTTTCTCCTTATTATTAGCAACAGCTTTCCACTTCAAAAGTTCCTGATTAAGTTCACTAATCCGAGATTGTAGGCGTTTTATTTCGTCGGCTTTTGCCGAAAGTTCTTTTCTACTGCTATTCACTTTCTCCTTGTTACTAGCAATTCCTTTCCACTTTTGAAGCTCTTGGTTTAGTTCGCTCACTCGCGTTTGAAGGCGCTTTATTTCCTCTGCTTCCGCGGAATTCCCTTTGCTCTCTAACGAGATCACTTTGAGCTTCGCCTGATTAAGTTCCTTTTCTAGTTTTTCTTGACTGCTCTTTGCCTGATTAAACCTGATTTTCGACTCCTCTAACTGATGTAGAAGCTTTTTCTTCTCTTTGTTCCAAGCAGACTGATCATTACCTCCAGTAGAAACGCGCTTTAACTGTTCATTTTCTCCTTTCAACAACGCGCAGTCACTGTTAGAATCTCTCAGCTCGAACTTAACTTGATCTAACTCTGCTTCATATTCTTCTTTCAATCCTTCACTCCTTTCCTGCGCTTGTTTCAACTCTTCTTTTGCCTGCGTAAGCTCTTTGCATTTCTGTTTGAACTCTTTCTCTAGCTTTTCGAGTTTTCCTCGAAGATCTTCGTACGCAAATGTCAGCTTCTCTTCCCTCGCTTCGCCCAGCTTAAGCATTTTCTCTACTTCAACAAGCTCCCTACTCTTTTGCTCCGCATGTGCCTTCTGTTCTTTCAGAAGCCCTTCCATCTCGTCTGCAACTTGCAACAGTTCTTTTTTGTTCGTCTCCTCTTTATCAAGCTTTTCTTGGAGTTCCTGCACTTTCTTGGCTGAATTTTCGAGATGCATTTTTTCTTGTGTGTTCTGTAGTACTGATACATCTTTTTCCTTCTCTAAAGCGCCTTTCTCTACTTTCAAAGCATCCAACTGCTCGCTCATTAGGTCGCATTTCTGTTGCAGCTCCGTCACAGCTTGGCTCGAATTTCTCAGCTTGTCTTCTAAAACTTCTGTTGTTGTTAACAACTTAACTTTTTCTTCAGTCATGTCGGTGATAAGAGATTCTTTGCTCTGTAAAATGTCCTTTAGACTTTCAGATTCTGAGCGCAGAGAATCGACTTTGTTGTGTAAGTCATCTTCTATGACCTAAAGGAAAATAAAAGGGAGAATAAAAGTTTAACCTGTTCGAGTCAAAAGCAACGAATTCTCGACAACAGTAATAAAGCCCACCTACGAGTAACCTAATTATTTAGAACCTGTAGGATTTTCAAAAAATTGCCATTCAAAGCCCTGTTATATGATGTTCAATTGCGCCCAAATATTGAACAGGTTCTGATATTTGTATGGAAAATCAGAAAACAATAAATCAGCGAATCTAGGCAGGGTGTTTGTGATCTTGCTTTTCAGAAATAATTATATGCTTCTTTTTCAAGACAGGAACCACACGCATTTGGACTGGACGGTTCTAGTAGATGGGTCTTCAATGTGTTACTGTAATTGCTTATTTCTATGATAAATCGCCATAAATCCTTTATCAGGCCCCCTCTCTAATAAGCCCTCCCTTTTCAGGGAAAGAAAGTTAATAAGCCCCCTCTCTCTTTTAAGCCCCACCCTTCCACTGTCTCTCACACTTATTAATCTTCAATAATAAATGATACACTGTATTAATCAATCACCACTGCAAAACTTAGTATGGACTAATCCGGGATGGTTTATTCACCAGCTGGAAGTTCGGATTTGTTTTTGATCCTCAGCTGCATGACCTCCAACTTCTTGTACTTGGGCTTTTCCACTTTGAATTCATGTTCTTCATGAAGAACTGATATTATCGTCTTTGCGAAAATCTTGCATATCTCTTGATCATGAAACAATAATTTTCACCGTTGCTACAAAGCCTTTTTAATAGAGCGATTTTCGTATGACCTTGAAAAATGGTTTCCGTAAGTGTTTGTTATTTGTTTTAGCAGCCAATGGATGAAAAGAACAAAACATGGACTCTTCGTTTTCCCGCCAAAGAAAACCCTAATATAGAGAAGGCATTATTCGATTGACCAATCGTGTTGCAGTATGACGTCAAAGCAATTTCTAGAAAGTTCTTCGGGCATGAAGTTTTTTCAGCCGAGCGTTCGCTTAACCAACCAAAAGCCAGGTGCGTTTGTAACCGTTCGATAAACCAATCAAATCGCTCTATTTCCGTTCGTTTGTTGTTTTTGTTTTGTTCGCGCGTTTTCATTTCAAGGTCAGACGAAAATCGCTCTAATAAATAAAAGCAAGAAAGACATTTCTCCAACCTCTCTTTCATCGCTGTCACTCTTATGCCGGGTTTGCATCTCGCAAAGTTTCTTTTGTAAAGACGAGTTGTCGCTTTCAAGTTCGTTTAACTTCTGTTCCAGTCCGTTGCATTTTTCCTGTAACTGCCCCACGTTTTGACGTTCCTCTTCCAAATCTGAGATGTACTGCTGAATCTTTTCATAGCTGAAGCTCCCTGAATTCCACTGCTTCTTCTGAGCGTCAAACTCTCGCTCCCGCTCTTCGGCTTCTTCAAGCATGACATTCTGATAAGAGTTTACAAGATAGAAATAGAGACCATTAGCAACCACGGCGAGGACAAGATTAGCTTTATAGTATTTTTTTTTCGCGTATTCTCGTATTTTCTCGAGTATTCTAGCACGGTGATTTTTTAAGTATTGAAGGAGGTTAAGCAGAATGACGACGGCTATCGCGTTTCCCGCCAAAATGACGCTGGTTCACGCGCGCGCATTAATAATATGGTAAGCTCGGACTTGTGGACGAGATGCGGTTCAAAAGTATTAAATACTTCTGGAATTTGATTTGCGTTTCCGATTTCAGAACGGCAATACAATGTAGATGTGAATATTTCGTTTTCTTACATACCTTTCTAGTCATTAGTTAGAGACAGTTACCACCCAGGTTTTCGAGTTCACCGCGAACCGCAAACGGCAGTTTCAGTTTCGGCGTTTTTGGTGTTTGAGGTTTGTGGCCTCTACACGTTTAGCTACCCGTTTTCAGTCTCAAGAAAATTGCAAAAAACATGAAAGAATTATTTCACGTGAAGAGCCGGTTAGCGCCAACCCAGGCATAGATGTTAACCCGGGTTTCTATTTGAATTCCTATTGTTCAAAAGCATTTTCTCAGATAATTTTCTCTATTCTTTATAGAACATCCGATGATCAAATTGTAGATAAAAGAATTTCAATGAATTTGCTTTTTAAGCTTTCATATCTGAATTCAAATTCTCGCTAACCCTGGGTTATCTTAACCCAGCTTCGAAAAACCCGACCCTGGGTGCTAAATGTCTCAAAATTACTTTCGTTGCTTACGTTTTATATTCATATACCGTAAAATTCCGAAAATAAGCCCCTCTATGTATAGGTCCCTCCAAATATAAGCCCGTCAAACCGGTAATGCAAAAAACCCTCCGTTAAATCGCCCCTCCAAATATTAGCACCCGGGGACTTGTACTTGGAAAATTGCCCTCAAATACAAAGTAAAACAAAGCAAAAACGTTAAATTTACTTCCAACTATAAGGCTAGTCCAATCGATTTTGATACGCTAATTTTCCTCCGTAGATAAGCCCCTCAAAAAGGGCATTTGAAAAATATAAGCCCCGGGGCTTATTTTCGAAATTTTACGGTATGTAAACCAAGAAAATAATTCAAAAAACAAAAAAAGACTTGAGAAACCGTGATATATTACACACCTTTTCCTGTTGTGCGGTTTTCAGGTCATACTGAAGCTGCTTGATGACTGATTCCATTTCCTGGAGGTCGTCTTCTTTTTGAGCTAATTTTTGTCCTAAGTTGTCAATCCTTTTCACAAAGGTCTGCTCTTGGTTCATCGCAAACTCCTTGGCCGCTTCAACAATCTGTACTCTCTCCTCCTCAAGCCACTTTTCTTTGTCCTGTTTCTCTGCCCTCAGAACTGCAAGCTGTATTAACGAAAGCATAAATACAGATATCAAATTTACAACTCCCGGTAGCAGACCGTCGCTTGTGTGATACCATCCTTTCTTTTCAGTCCTATGTAAACGTTTTCTGAATAACCACTCTTGAGAAACCTCAGCAGTAACGGTTTCGCTTTCCCGTGGTACTGTTTACTGAGCCTTCGGTACAATATTTGCGTTTTAGTCTGTGGATGAAATCCTATGGTTTGACCATTCAAATGAAAGCTACTGAGCAGTACTTTCTTGTGGTACTGTTTATTATGCTGTACAAGGTGGTTCTAACTTTTGAGTCTGGGATGAAATCCTTAAGTGTGACCATTCAAATGAAAGCTACTGAGCAGTACTTTCCTGTGGTACTGTTTATTATGCTGTACAAGGTGGTTCTAACTTTTGAGTCTGGGATGAAATCCTTTAGTGTGACCTTTTAAATGAAAGCTACTGAGCAATAATCTCCTTTGGTACTGTTTATTATGCTGTACAAGGTAGTTCTAACTTTTGAATCTGTGGATGAAATCCTAAAGTGTGACCATTCAAATGAAAGCTACTGGACATTACTTTCCTGTCGTACTGTTTATTTTGTTACACAAGGTGGTGCTAACGTTTGCCGGAGTATGATCATTCATAATTAAGGACTGTTCTGAGGTACATTCTTGCATATGTAGTGGCGATTGTTTAAACTGCAATCATTCATTCACAACAACGTTGTTTACCATCATCTCCCTGTCATCGTCGCCATCATCATCATCATCATCATCAATACCACCACCACTACCATGTGAAGTTTCATGTTTTTTAAGTTATCTAAATTATTCTCATGATCTAAGTAATACATTAGCTTATACCTCTTTTTCTGCCTCATTCAGTGCTTGTGTCAATGTTTCTTGAGAGGCTTCCAAATGTTCGTTGTTGCCCTCTGTCAGCCCAGATTTCACCTCCTTGCTCCACTCCAGCTGCTGGGTGACTTCACCAAGATGATGCCTCAACTCACGTTCCACGTCCCCTGCCGCGGCGTACTTGGCCTCAAGGTTAGCTACTTCCTGTTTGCTTTGCTTCAAACTCTCCTCCTTTACAAAGATTTCTTCATCTTTCTGCTTCAAGCTGTACTTCAACTCCTCGCACTGAGATTCAAGTTCTCTTATTTTGCTTTGAAAGTCTGTTTTCAGATTTGCCGCAGAAGAAACCCGTTTCTCAGTTTGCCGCAACGCTTCTAGATAATCCCTTTCCTTGGCGCTTACTTCATTTTGCAGCTCCTCCAGTTTTCTCTTCAACTGAGCATTCTCCTCAGCAAAAATTGAGGACTGTTCACTCCCCCAGTCATTCTTCGCCACTGATAGCAACTTAACTCGTTCTTTTTCCCACTGTTCCTCTTGTTCTTGAAACGCGCGCATCATGACCTCGGTATTTGACTTTTCACGTGACAGTAAATGCTCCAACTCTAGAACTTGGTCTTGCAGATTACTGGTCCCATTTGCGTTCTGCTGGCATCGTTCATGCTCTGCCTGAACAGAGTCAAGTTCTTCCGTGAGTGAGCGCAATTGGGACTTGAGAGTTTCCAACTTCTCAGTCTGATCGTTAAGATTGTTTTGAAGCTTTTCAACTTGAGAACATCTTGCACTGAGCAGGTTTTGCAGTTTTTCCAGCTCTTTATCTTTCTATGAATAAACCATACAATTTTGTTTCAGTGGATGTGCTATAGGTAAAATTCGTTCTAAGTTTTAATCAGTATTCATTCAAGTTTGTTACCTTGCCCCTGACTAGTCCTCAATCGTCTCTCATTCTCCTATTAATTTTAGAGACCTTTAGATTCTAAGACGAGTAGGACTACGAATACGAGATTTTCTCAATACTAAATACTGCGCGCGCGTGAGCAAGTGTAATTTTGGCGGGAAAACGTGATTGACGTCATCACTCTACCACGAGTTTTAGCGAGAATGTCGTGGTAGCAAAAAGAAGTTGTAAAGTGTTGGGGGTTTTATCATTTTGCGGCCGGGACATGGCTTAACCTCCTTCAGTAAAGATAAAAATGTTAATATTTTTTTGGTGAAAAAGAAGTACATGAAACGTTCCGGGGTGTTACTTGAAAGTACGCGAACAAACTTTAAGTCAAATCTCGCACTCGTAGTCGTTCTAGTGCTGGAGTCTAAAGGTCTCTAGTAACGAGAGAAGCCCGGCGGAGAGCGAGGGGTCGTGGGATGGATACAGACATAGAGTCCCTCCCTTTCGTTCTCCTCCTTCCCATCACCCCTTACGCTCCCTTCGGTCAGGCATGCGATCCAAAGAGAGGACTGGGACGAGCCAGACCTTGCCTTATTTTTTATGATAGACAAAGAAAATTCTGGTTTACCTTGTTAAAAAAATTCTAACAACAACATATGCACAAGAAGCTTTGACGTGGATGGAAGAATGGCTTGAACCAAAATTGAGTATTTAATCAGAGAATGTGAAAGGTGACAATGTGAAAAACTACAGACTTTGCGTGTCCAATCATGTCCCCTAAAAAGACACTTTGGGATTTTCCTGAGCGTCGCGAATCCTTTACCTCGTGCTCCGCCGAAGTAAAAAAACATGCTGGTTAAATTTTTTAATTTTTAATCTTTCAGTTTTTTAATTTTTAACTCAAGGAACACTCAAGGTTGCTAATCAAGAAAAATTTCCTGACTTTCCCTGAACTCAAAACAATTTTCACGGACATCACGTTTACTCCTTTTCAGCTTTTTGCAGATTGCTTATATTCTTTTCCTCATATTTTTTGTCTTTTTAATGTTTTCACGAGATTTGGAGAAGAAAATCGATCGACTACATTTTTTTTCTTCTTTTTTTGGATGAAACGTTTTTTATATAAATTTTGTTCGAAACCCAGGGGCAACCTGAAAAGTAGTTCTCTGACTTATCATATTACTGACTGAAAAGATTTAAGATTTTTACCTGATTATTGTTTTTCCTTATCGTGGCCGTCCTGCTACTTAACAGCAAACTTAAGAGAGACGATCTATTGTCAATGACACAAAAAAAAAACAAAACAACTTCTCACCTGTACTTGAACGCCTTTAATATCTGTCATCTGTTCAGCTGCATGGCTCTTCGTCATCTCTAGCTCATCTTTAACATTCTGAATTTCTTCACAAAGCCTTGCTTTTTCACTTGACATTTCTTCTAATTTACTGCTCTGCAGAGCTAATCTATCCTCCACGTTCTCCTTTTCTTGCTTGAGTTTTTCACACACATTCTCAAGCTCCAGATTCTTATTGTTCAACTGAATCAATTCAGCAGTCTTCTGCTCAAGCGATGACGATAATGAACGCTTCTCCAACAGCGTTTCCTCAATTCTTTCCTCCATCTCTTTTGCTTTTATCTCCCGCGAATCAAGCTCTTTTTGAAGTTTCTCCAACTTTTCCATAGCGAGATTCTCTTGATCTTTCATTGCATCCATCATTTGCTTAAGCTCTAAATCTTTTTCTGTCATAGCAGATGTTTGCTGTTCTTGCAAGCAATTTGCAGTGTTCTTCTGTCGATTTGCCTCATCCTTCGCGTTTTCTAACTCACACTTAAGCTCAGCTCTACTTACTTCTAAAGATTGAACTTGTTCTTTCAGAAGACTGATCATCTTCTCAGTTTCTTCATCGCTTCTCATCATTAATTCCCTTTCACTTTTCTCATTGGCAAAGGTGTTTAACTTTTCTGTGGCTACACTAAGTTCTTCTTTGGTGCGCGTCAATATTTCTTCAAGCTCGCGCTTCTCCGCTTCGACAGCCCTTGCCGCGGCGTCGCTACTTTCTAGTTGGCTAGTAAGTTTTGAAATCTTTGCTTCTCTCAAGGAAATCTCCTGTTGCAATTCTTTGCCTTTAGCCTCATGTTCTTCATATTTCGCATCTATCTTTTCCAACAAGTCGCTTTTCTCTAACCTCGCTTGTTGTAACTCCTCTCTGAAATCCCTCAGCTCACTTTCAGCTCGAGAGAGCTGATGGCGCGCGTCTTGAAGATGCTTCTGTGAATCGTCTAACTTGTCAACCACGTCTCTGTATTCTTGAGCCTTAAAATCTGCAAGTTCACACGCCTTTTTGCATTCCTGCTGGTGAACTTTACATTCGTGTCTCAAAGCTTCCATAGTTGCTTGACCATCTCTGGTCTTTTCAAGAAGTGATGTTTTTTCTTCTTCGAGATCCTTACAGGCTTTCAACAACTCATCTTCTCTCTCCTGCATTTTCTCACTGAAGGCTTCGTAAGACTTTTCCATCTTCAATTTTTCCTGGTCTTTGGAAGATGAGACATTCTCAAGATGTACAACCATATCTTTTAGCCGCACGACCTCTTCTTTGCTTTTCTGAAGCTGTTCAGTAGCCGAGACACATTCTTCAGATTTCTCTCGAAACTTTTTGCTCCATTCCAGCACAACAGACTCTCTTTCTCTATCGACCTGCATAATGCTTTCCCCGATTTTGATCTCAGCATTTTTCAACTGGGCTTCTAGCTTCATTTTCTCACTGTCTGCAACATTAAGCGTCTTTTCTTTGTCGTCAAGTTGTTTCGTTAGTTTTGACACTTTATCTTCGTTTGCCAACTTACTCTCTCTCAGATCTGCAATTTCACTTTCTTTCTCCCCAAGTGCTGCAATAACACTGTTCATTTTTGATTGCACATTGACAAGGTCTGCTGACAAGGACCCACTTTTATCCGTCTCCTTCAACAACTGAGCTTCCAAAACCTGGATGTTTTGCTGTAGTTCATCAACACAACTTTCCTTCTTCTCCTCCTTCGACAGACTCTCAGTGAGACGACTATTGACATTTTCAAGCTCTTTTTTCAGGGAGTCAATATGTTCTTCTTTGACGATAAGTTTTTGCTTTTGCTCTGACAAAACCGCCTCCATCTTTTCCACTTTTTCTTTCAGTGACAGAATGTTCCTTCCGGACTTTTCCTCGTTCGACAAGCTCTCATCTAGTTGGCGAGTCAGATCTTCGAGTTCTTTTCTCAAAGAATTGTTTCTTTCCTCTACATCCCCAATTTTCTTTCTCAGTTCCGACGCCACCAATCCTTGCTCTTCAACCTGCTTGTTCAGCGCCTCGATCGACGAATTCTTCTCTTCCAGATCCATTTGTAACATTTCTTTCTGTACCGACAGCTGTTGCAAATCTTCATCCAGCTGGTTGAGAGCTTTTTTCGCGTCTTCGAGCTGTTGATCTTTGTTTGCAAGCTTGCTCCTAAGCTCGTCCTCTGTGAACGCTTTGTTCTTCAGTTCAACTTCCCTTTTCGCTAAATCTTCTTTCAAGGAGGAGACTTCCACTGCAGTAGTACTCTCAGATGTCTCCACGATGGAACGCAAATCCTTCAACTCTGACTCCTTACTTTCGACGCATGCTTCCAAATGACCACACTTTTCTCGCAACTCCAAAACTTGCTTCTTGAGCTCCATAGTTTGTTCATTTAGTTCAGTAATCTCGCTATCATTAACTGACTCCAACTCTTTAATAGCGCAGCGCTTTTGGCCTAGCTCGTCCTGGTTGATTCTCAATACCTCTGAGAGCTGTTCTAACTTGCTTGCTAAATCAGTGTTCCTCTCCTGCAAAGTTTTATTTAAGCTGTTAAGTTCATCCACTTTACCCTCAAATCCTGCCTTTTCTTCTGCCGTAGACTTAAGTTCTTGAATCAGTGCGGTTATCTCTTGATCTTTTGTCTCCACAACCGCCGCGAGTTTTTCCAGCTTTTCCATCAGCGACGACACTTGTTCATTAAGGCTTTCTGTTTGCAAGCACTGCCTCTCCGACTCCTCACGCTGCGTGTTTCTAGCTGTTTCAAATGACTCTGATAATTCTTTAAATTCCTTTTCTTTGCTCTCAAGAGCTGCTGAAGTCTGTTCCAGTCTCGCCAGCAAAGAATCATTTTCCTCTTTTCCCCTGTTTACCTGGTCATTGGTTTTCGCAAGCAAGTCTTGAATTGCGCAAAGTTCGTCTTCGAACTGTCCTAGCTTAGCTTCCGCAGCAATGACAGCATCTTGTGTACTCTGAACAATAGTTTCCAGATGTATACATTTTTCTTGTAGTGACGCAATTTCCTTCTCTTTCACAGTGATTTCTTCCTCCAGTTCAGCCTCTCTCTCACCGTTCTCTTTCTGACGAATCTCATCAAGAACTTGACATTTCTCTGCCAGCTCTTCATCTTTACGTTTCAAAATGTCTGACAACTGTTCAATCTTCACAGCCATTTCATCTCTCTTTTGTTCCAAATCCTTACAATGCACACTCATTTCATCTACCTTAGATAGAAGTCCATCCTTCTCTTTGCATACAGCTTCTAAGTGCTCCTGCGCTGATTCTGTAGCTTGACCTTTGACTTCGACAAAAGCACTGAGTTTCTCCAGTTGTTCTTTCGCCACCAAAACTTCACCTTTAAGCAGCTCTATTTCACTTTCGTAACTCTTTGTCAACTCAAGTGTTTTCTGCTTTTCCTCCTCCAAACTTTTACACAATTCTGTGACTTTCCTTCCCCTTTCTTCAAGAACAGTTTCTTGCTTTTCAAACTTCTGCTTCACATCTGCAATTTGACTTTCCAACAACACGTTCTTCTCGCAAAGTTCTCCAACCTGTGCACTCAGCCTTGTGTTGTCTTCCTGTGTTGTTTTAAGTAACGCAGTCATTCTTTCGATATCTTGACCTTTCATTTCACTGGCGACACTGACTCGATCAAACTTTTCGGTCAAAGATGTGAATTCCTCTTTCAAATGTTCCATTTCTTTTAGTTTCAATTCAAATGATGACTGCCCATTTGTTTTCAGCTCCTTGAAACAATCTGCCATGTCTTCAAGTTCCTTTTCTTTATTTTCAAGGGCTGTTGTTTTATACTGAAGATTTTCCGCCAACACCATCTTCTCTTTCTCGGTTTTTTCAACCAGACCCATCTTAGACCTAAGATCATCCTGAAGTTTCCTTATCTCCGCATTTAGTTCTTGAATCTTTGCTTGGGCACTGCTGATCTCACCCTCTTTGCTTTGAGTACAAGCATCTAAAAGGGCACACTTCTCTTCCAATACAGACACCTGGTTTTCTAAAACACTACAATGCTCCTTTAACTTTTCCATCCCCTCTCCACTTGCTTTTTCAAGATTCTCTATGTTTGCACGTTGGGTTAAAACCTCTTCATCTTTCGTCTTAATGACTTCTGATGCTTGTGTTAATCTATTCTGAAGATCTGCAAGCTGTTCTTCGCAAACGCAATTCTTCTCACGCAGTTCTTCAATCTGTTTACCGAGCATTGCCTTCTCTTCTTCTGCGGTTTGAAGTATTTCAGTCATGCTTTCAACATCCTGGTCTTTCATTTCACTCGCTACACTGACTTGGTCCAACTTCTCTGACAAAGAGGCAACTTGTTTCTTCAAATTTTCTACTTCGGCAAGTGCTTCCTCGAGTGACGACTGCCCACTGTTTTTCAGCTCCACCAAACTATCTGACACCTCTTTCAACTCTTGGTCTTTGTTCTCTAATGCTGTTGTTTTATATTGCAGATTTTCTGCTAGAACCTCTTTTTCTTTTTCAACGCTTTCGATCAGCTCAACCTGTGAAGCAAGATCGTCTTGAAGCTTCCTGACCTCAGAAGTCAGTTCTTGAATCTTGACCTTAGCATCACTAATCTCACCGTCTTTGTTTTGAGAACAAGCCTCTAACTTTGTATTTTTCTCCTGCGATGCTGCGAGTTCGTTTTCCAGTAAGGAACACCGTTCTTTCATCTTGATTATCTCATCATCGGCAGATGTTTCAAGGTTCTTTATGACTGTACACTTACTCGACAGCTCTTCATCTTTGGCTTTTATCAACTTTGACATTTGATCCAGCTGCGTTGCTTTCTCTGTAAGTTGGTCTTCCAGTTTGAAATTTGTACTGCAAAGTTCATCAAGCATAGAACTTAACTCAGACTTCTCTCCTTCCGCGGCATCTAAAAGCTCCTTTGTTGTTTTCAACTCTTCTGTTTTGCTTTCTGCCACGGCATTTGCTTGTTCAAATTTTTTTCTTAAGCTTGCGACCTCATTCCGTAATTCCTGCAGTTCGAGATCTTTAGTTCCATGAACTGACTGAAGCTCAGCTTCAAGATTTTTCAGTTTCTCGCACGTTTCTTCTAACTCTAGTTTTCGAGTTTTCAGAACCGCAGATGTTTGCTCGAGATCGCTAGCCAACTTTTCATTTTCTTGCTTACTGTTGCTAGCAATTTGCTCCTGTGAGGCCAGACTTTGCTGTAGTGACGCAACGTCCTCACTCAACTTAGTCACCTCTTGACTGACAGCTGCCAATTCTGATTCTTTGTTACTAAGCAACGTCTCCAGGTTTTCCGCTTTCTCTTGTAAGAACACAAACTCATTCCTTGTGGCATTGCACTGCTCATTCATTTCAGCAAGTTTCTTATCAGTGACACCTCTAATCTCATCAACATCCTTCACTAACGAACTGATTTCATCATCTTTGTTCTTGAAAAGTTTCAGATTTTCCTCTCGTTGCATTTCAAGAGAGCTGCACGTCTGCTCAAGTTTGTTAAGAGTCGACAAAGCCTCTGTAAGTTTTTCTTGGGCCTCGTACAACGCCCTCTCCTTGGATTCCAACTCAACGGATACTTCCTTAACGCACGCTTCTTTCTGCTGTACAATTTCCTGGCTGTTTGTTAACTTCTCCTCTAGGCATTGCACAGAATTCTCCAAATTCTCGCATTGTAACTGAATAGTTTCCAACTTTGCTGCTAAATCTTCCGCCTCCTTTTCTTTCACTGCGCATTCTGCCTTAGATGTATCAAGCTTCACGTTCATAGACTCAACTACTTCCTTTAACTTCTCAACTTCTGTTTTGCGATCTGCGCACAACTGGTTAAGCTCAGCGTTATTTTTCTCTGCCTCTTCCTCTTTGATGCGCTGCTCCTTTAACAATTCTTCTTTTTCTCGGTTCAGCATGTTCACAGCATTTTCTTTCTCTTTAAGAACTGCTTCAGTTCGAGTCACTCTTTGTTGTAGTTCATACACGTGCTTCTGCGAGGATTCCAACTTATCAATCACATCGGTTGCCTCCGCAGATTTCATATCCGCCAGCTCACAAGCTTTCTTATAGTCGTGCTGCATTGCTTTGGAATCGTTCTTCATGGCTTCAAGAGCACTCTGTAGAGATCTTTCTTTGTCGGCCATTACAGCCTTCTCTTTCTTCCATGCCTCGTCTTTTTTGGTCAGTTCTAGCTCTACGGCCCCCAACTTCTCACATAAAGTCTGATGAGATTCCTCGGCCAACTTACTCTGCTTTTCCTTGTCATTTATGACATTCTCCAAGTGTAACGTCCTTTCTTTCAGCTTGGACACTTCCTGTTTTTCCAACTGAAGTTCCTTCACAGTCGCACTAGCTTCTTCCGATACTCTCGCTAGTTCCTTTCGGTGTTCATCTTCCAACTCAGCCTTCTCGCGTTGTAACAAAGCAACGTTTTCCAGCGCTGACGCCAGCCTCTTTTTATCTTCACTCTGGGAATCTTGCATTTCTTTTCCCTTTAAACTCAAATCTCTTTCTTTCTCTTGAATAGTGTGACTCAGCTGCTCTATACGTTTATTCAATTCAGCAATTTTATTCTCCTTTTCTGTTAGAGCTGTTTTCGCTCCCTCAAATTCCCTCTTTACCTCTGCACATTTTTGCTGTTCTTCTTTCATTTTCTGTTCTAGTTCTGTAAACCTGTTGTCCAACTGGGAACTCTGCTGTTTTCTTGTTTTTTCAGCTTCAGCGAGACTTGTTTTCAACCTTGCAATATCGTGTTCCTTCGATTCAATTAGCTTCTGGCTGTTATCAAGTTTGTTTTGTAAAGTGTTTGACTTCTTTTCCAGATCGTTGCACTGCTTTTCCATAGCAGTGATAGTTTGTAGCTGTGAGTTAATATCCTCCCTGTAACAGATCAATAGGCACAATGTAAATATAATAAATAAATAAATAAATAAATAATTCCGTTATTTACCCTTGGCAGTATTTATAGCACTAATGCTAGTGGGGGCGAGCAAATGCCTGAAACAAATAATTCAAATTGAACTTAACAGGATTAAGAATCCCAACTGGCCGGAAGCATCCCACCTGGCTATTTTCAAGCGTGGCTGAGGATTTGAACTTGGGACTACCGTGAGGAAATCCAGCTAGCGGCCAGGGCCCAATTGTTCAAACGCCGGTTAGCGCTAACCCAGGGTTAAATTTTAACCAGGGCTTCTTTTTCTTTTCAACAAAAGTACTCTCTCAGATGATTTTCTATATTTTTTTTAGAGTATCCAGTCATCAAATTGTAGGCAAAGAGAATTAAACTGAATTTTTTTTTTATGCTCTCATATCTGAGTTTAAATTTTGCACTAACCCTGGGTTATCTTAACCCACCTTCGAACAACCCGGCCCAGAGCGGGACCTCCGAATTGCAAGTCCAGCGCTCTAGCCACTTGGCCACGCTGCCTCCTCACTATACCAACAACCAAGAAGAAACAAGGATAATAACTTTGCCTATAGTGTTAAGGATACGACAAGCACCAACTCAAAACAACATGTGTCCCAAAACCCAAATGGGAAACCACCTCCACGACCTTGGTTGAACGTTTTAAGCAATGGAGCTATGTGGAGGTCTGCAGTGAAATCACCATACAAGAATCTACATATTACCGAGACAGTTCTAATATACATTGGATATCTACTCCATGCAAGTGTTTTATATAGATTCTTGTAGGTGACAGAGGGACTGTCATTACTATGGGTGTGGTCCCTTCTTACAGGGTTAACGCCATTTAGCACAAGAAAATTACAACAGAAATCCTGTCAGTGTGATCATCAACAAGATCTACATTGCAAACACAGAGGATTTCTTTTTATTTCTTCATTGTGATTCAGCTTGCGACCCTAACAATATACAAAGGACGCAAAATCTTGCAGACAATTTTATAGCCTGACAAAACAGCCGACATTTCCCCACGCCACCACTGGCTTTTCTGCAAAAAGATGAAAAGAGCATAGAAACTCCATACTGATAATGCGTCACTACACAGATCTGGGTATTGCTACTGATTGGCTCAAAATATGCTTCAACCTTGCTTCATTCAACCAATCAGAAACACAACCCAGATCTGTCACCAGTATGGAATTTCTGCAGTCGCTGCTCAGAAGTCATTTCGCGGGGAAACCAGTGGTGGCATCGCCAAATGTCCGCTGTTTTCTCAGAATAACAATCTTAAAGCTTCATCATGCATTCCTCGCCATGTTGGGGGGCGGATCAGGAAAGAAGCACTAAGAATGTCTGCTTGGAGGCTAGGCTATAAAGTAGAGGTTACTGTCCACAACAGAACAATAAACTCATTGAACTTTTTAACACACCTGTGATCTTTATCCTTTTCCTTCAATTTCTCTTCCATTCCTTTGATGACAGCCTCTGAATTGTGACGCTGGCAATCCATATCCAGGTCTCTTTGTTTGGCCTTTTTCTCTGTGAATGTAAAAAAAAATGCATTACCAGTAAATGCATGGCAAATTCAATTATGCAGAATGTCAAACTGCTCAAACATTTACTATGAATTTGCTTGCATCTATCAAACTCTTGGAGGGGGCTAGGAATTTCTCCTAGCTACAAGGAACGTGATATCTGGCTACTTTCATAGAAAAACAGAAGAAAAATAAACCAAAAGAAATCCCAAGATGTTCGATTCCCTGCCATCTTGTAGTATCTAAGTGACAACTTGAATTCTTAGTGACAGCCTTGCTCTAACCCTAAATAAGAGACAATCCAGGTCCAGCATACACACTGAGATTCCATTAATGAATTTATTGTTCATTAATTCATTTTGAATCTGTTGGTAATTCATCCATTTAGATTTTTTCATCCTGACCAAATACAGGAAGGTTATCTTAAAAAATTCACTGCTTCTTACCCCGGCAGGAAAGCACATTTGAATTTGAAACAGGTTGCGGCAACAACAAATGGAGTCATTTTTCAAATAATCCATTCATTAATGGGATCTATGGGGGTAGGCTTGACTATGACACAGGAATGGGATCCACTGACTAGTAAATTACAATCAGCACTTACCCAAGGAGGCAACAGTAGCATTTGCTTGATCCAGTTCCGCTTTAATCTTTGAGATCTCCGCAGCACTAACTTTTAATTCTGACAGCTCCTTGTCCTTTTTCTGCAAGATTTCTGACATGTTATTCAGCTCTTTGACCTTCTGTTGCAGTTCAGCATCTTTCTGGGCTAATTTTTCAGTAGCACAGAACAGCTCCTTGATTTTAGCTTGCAACTGATCATGTTCTGACTGAAGCTCATTTTGATGATCCACATGAGGTACTTTTGTTTCCGATACAGAGGTGACAGGATCCTAACAATGTGTTTTTACAAAGAACATACAGTTAGTGGTTAAAAATTTTAAAACCAAGAGTAGCCAACATTAATTTTTAGTACAGAAAATTCCAAAACTCAGAGAAAAAATTAAGAAAAACAAATGAATATTTCATCCAAATCCCTCAGACTTCATCAGCGTTGTAAAGTGACAGCTTGTGTAACAGAAAAATATAGAAATATTCATTACTTTTCCTTAATTTTTGCTCTGAGTTTTGGAATTTTCTGTACTAAATGTCCTCCCCAGAGCAGGTGAAAAACCTTTTTCGTAACATCAACTTTCTGCTAAAAATCAGTATATCATCAAGAAGAAAGGTTATAGGGATTAATAAAATGATCACCAGAGAAAATAATTATGCTTTGATCTTTTACCAAATTCTCTCAAACAATTTTTCCAGAAAAGTATGGAGGCCAGTCTGGAGAATTTGTGTGTTGATCTTGGGGTTTAGGGTGATGTTACACAAGATGATTTGCAAGGACAATGTTTAGTGCAACAAAGTATTGCAATGTTGCAACAATGTTGTGATGCTGTGTTGCACTAAAACTCATTAGATTTATGACACTGGCCCCAGGCTACTACATGTAGCTTGTGACTGGAAAGCTTATTTTATTATTTAAGCATTTACAGCGTACAAAGAAGGGCCTGTCCCATAGCCTGGGGCTAGTGGATTTTGCTATTGGGCTAGTGAATTCTGTTTTTTTTTTTTCTTGCCTGACGAGCAAGTTAAGATTTTTGCAGAATTCAAATTACAGAAGAACTGTGGTCAATCCTGCTTATCAAAAAAATTTTTTGGGGGTAGTTAAAATGACTGTTGGGCTAGTACATGCTAGCTACAGTTTATCCAAATGGCAATCTGTAAAACTGACTTTCTTTGCACCCTTCTTCAGTGAAGAATTTACTTGCTGGGTACCCAGGATTTCAAAGTTTTAAGACACTAGACCCTTCTTAAATCATAACCCTGAGATAATACTAACTCTTCAAACTCTTTAGGAGTAAGATAGCATTAAAACTAGTAATATGAAACTAAAAATACTATGACCCACATCTCTGTAGTAGAGACTTCAGGGTATAACTTCTTGAGGTTAAGACACCTCATGGAAAAATTTAGCCTGTTCAGGCATTTAGACATTAAAGAAGAACACAAAGTGGACAAACAAAGCATGCAAAAGAAAAACATCTGTTGCAGTATTTTCCCTGCCTTTTTCCCTAGCTCTATAGAGTACTAAAGTGATGACGTCATAAAAATGAAATTTCTGAAATTATGGGATTTGTCAGAATATTCTGAAAGAACAATGTCCAAGAACCCTACTTGCCAAAAATGAGCATTTCGGGGCAAATTGTCTCTGAGATCGTAGCCCAGTTATGCTTAGAAAACTCCATACAAACCCTTCTAAATTTTTATGACGTCACACTTTAGTACTCTATTCTACTCTGTACCAATCCCTCATTGAAAATCTGTGTCAAAAATTAAAGCAAAGTTTATTACTCCACCTCATTTTTATTTGCTTTAGCAGCAACTGCCTTGAACTCATTAAGTTCACTCTCGACCTTTAGTCTCTTTTCTTTTTCTTGCTGCAGATGCGCTTCAGCCTCCTTCAGTTTCACCTCTACACCAGACTGCCAATCCATTTCAGAGTCGGATCCTGACGAGCTTTTCTTGGCTCTTGAGTTGGGTTCTTCTCCAAGGGATTTTAGGTGATTTTCTAGCATCCTTACACGTTCTTTGTGTCCTTTGTGGATGAAGAAAACAGCAATTGTTAATCACTTTCTTGTGTAAGAAGGAAATGCAGATTCTTCCAAAAGGTTTATACATGTACCAGCAATTGAAAAACACTAAAAACTCCCAACTAGTCAACCATCTTCACAATGAAGTTCCGAAAGTGAAGTTCCTTTCTTTTACATTATAATACTATTATTTAGGTCAATGCATTAGTTTCACACCAGAAGAATGTACCCCTAAGCAAATGGAAAATGAAAGGTGGCCAACCATAGTTGTTGTACGGTCGAACCCCACTTTATGAACACCCGCTTAATACAGACACTTGTCATAACAGACAGTTTTTCTTGTCCCTGCGGAAATGAAATGACAGTTTTTGTGACGGTTTGATTATGTTTAATTGGATGATGCTAATGTTCTGTTTGTTGTTATAAAATTTTGTTCAAATAAAAGATGTATTTTTGATTTATACAACACGATGTGCTTAATACGGAAACCCTGTAAATCGTACACGTTCTCTGGCCCCCTCAGTGTCCCTATTAATGGGGTTTGATTGTATGAATAATAAAACAAACAAATGAACCACAATAAGCTGCAATAGGTGACATAAATTATAAAGGGCCTTCGTGACATTTTGTTGGCTTATAAATGGGAAAATGAAGCTTTCCCTCCCCTATCCCCTCGATACAATGTTGAGCCAGTGTATGATCTGCCAGTAAGAAACTTTACAAGACCCCCCAACTTTGAACAGAGGGGAGAGGGGAGGGGTGCAAATGCTTCTTTTTCTCTGAAGTAGTCCATTTGACGATCGTGTTGTAACAATATTTTTGCCCACTGTAAATACGAAGGAATTCCTGGCAAAAGTGATGTCGTTGAAGTTGGTATGAAGTTATGATAAATTGACATATAACTTCAACTTATAAAGGTCATTCTAAAGACCAGTTGGGTCACATTAATAGATTTCCCCTTTCAACAGGCAATCAAAAGACTACAAAACTGAATCAGGTTGATGTTAAATGCTTTTCCTCTCGATAATGAACTGCATGTTTTTCACTTAAAAATCTGTGGACAACGATTATTACAACAACCAACTTGACAGAAGCTACGCCATGTAAGATACAAATGAAAATTATATGGCGGGAATCTTTGGCCATAATCAATAATCTGAGAGAGAAAGAACTGTAGCTCCTGCCAAGATATAGATGTTTAATAACTTAAAAAGACATTACGCTAAGCTATCAAATGCCATGAAGATAGCCAAGAAAAGGTTCTACATTTATGAAGAAATCTGAGCCATGAGACAATATACAAGACATGTCGACTGATCAATTGTTCGATCGACCTACCTGCAAGCTGTCTTTGAAGTGAGTTATTGGCTTCCTTCGACTTTGTGAAATCAGCACTCTGCTTCTCCAATTTACCAATAACCTGATTATGTTCGTACTGTAAATGGTCCATGTCATTTCTTAGCTGCGTTCCTTTGGCAGTTTCATTATCTAAAAGCTGCTGACATCGAGCAAGTTTACCATCGAGGCAACGTATCTGTCCTTCCTTTGCGTTTAAATCATGCAGAATCTTGTCGCGATTTCGCTCTAGTTCTTGTATGGATTCACTCAAAGAATGGTTTTCCTTCTTAAGAGTTGAATTATTTGCTTTCTCTTCCTCTGTTAATTTCTTTTGCTTGGCGATCGCGGCTTGCAAACTGTCCAGTTGGAATTGTCTTTGTTTCCCTTCCTTCTGTAGCGTCTCGCATCGTTGCTCGAGATCGTAGACTTTGTTTAAAGCGTTCGCCGAAAGCTCTTGCTTCCACTCCTCTTTAGCCCAACTCATTTTTCACCTCGACTTGCAATTTCACCAAGAAAAAGAAACAACCCTTACTCCATCGCACTCTGATCTTGAAAATCCCGCCATAAACCAATACTTCGAGTAACACGATCGATCGTTCTTCGATCTCGGATTTCGTGAAAATGAATGACAGTTGACAGTTGCTCTTCAAACCGAAGCCATGCTCGATTGTGATTGGTCAGTTGAATGAAAAGTGGGAAATTTGAAGTGAGGCTTGCGCTTGTTAGGACCCAGTCTTTCATTTTCTTTTCGGTCACAAAAATTGAAATTATTTTAGCAAAAATAATTTAATTCGCGTTTTCAATTTAAGTTAAGAAAGTCTAGACTTGGACTACACATGACTACTGCATATAATCACTTTCAACAAAGACGAACTCAAAAAAAGATTTTGATTAGAAGTTGGCTTTTGAGGAGTGCTTGAAAAGGCCTTACAGTTCACACTTAGTACAGCCCCCCTCAACTCGAGCTTGGTGCCCGATCGGAGTAGGATTTTTGCTTCTTGCTGGACACAAATGGGAACAAACCCATAGTTTCCGTAACAGGCGGCTGAATACGATACTCGCTGGGAACCAGTGAGGACACAACCTTAGCAGGAGCCCATCATTATGGGCTCCTGACCTTAGTCAAGTACCGTAAATCAGAATAGCCTGTTCCAGGCTCCGGGTCTGCGGAATTAGAAAGCGCGAACACGAAAATATAACGCGTGTCTTTCACTTGCGCGTCATCCTGGAACAGGGTAAAGCCAGAATAGCACAATTTTAATATGAACGGACGTCAGAGTGACTAATTTGCAATGTTTGCATTTTTGTCATTTTAATGACAAAAGCCACAGACACGTGACATTCTAATGACAGGACGATTAAAAGTGAGGAAATCGCTAAAGTTAATTTCAATTCATTGTGTCTGAGTTTCAGTTCTATAAATAGTAACTGTTATCCTGGCTCCAGAGGTTCGTTCTCCAACTGTGCTCACGTGAGAAAGCTCCTGAGGGGACCTCTGGTCACACAAGCAAGCAACTGTTACTTTTTTCTCTCGGCGCTTCACGCCTCACTGTTGCGGCATGGCTGCGAACTATCAGTAATTATATACGAAAAAAATAACATCGAGATCCCTAGCCTGTTCCAGGCTCTCAGATAGTGCGGAAGAATCGAAAGAAAAAGGCACGCGAAAAGTTTGCGGGGCGCGAAAAAGGAAAAAGGTGCCGCCCCTCAGGCTCTCCCCAGTTTCGTCCCGTTTTATTTTCTGCGTTCGCGCTTTCTCAATTCAGCAGACTCAACTATCTCTCGGAGCCTGAAACAGGCTACGAGATTCCAGGCTAAGTAACTGTGAGCAGCGCTACTTGGACTGACAGTGATTGAGTACAAGGTCTCCAGTTTTCTGTGTGCAGCCCTTTTACGTCAGCTGTGACGCCCTATGACAACAATCTAGTATTCCTGACTTTCATATATAGTCAATTTAAATAACTTTGATTGAAGCAGGAAACTGCCCCGTGAAAAGTCTCTAGTACCCAGTGTAAGTGTGTGGGGATCGTTACTTGTGTTCTGCTTGATCTCGTAATCTCTTAATCTCGTCGTTTAGGAACTTCTTATATAGAACCTAACGTAAACTATTTCCACTTTCATACCTAACGTAAACTGCTTCTAATTCTCCCCCCCAACTTATAGGGCTCCAGTTATAGGCCCATCTACCTGTAATAAATACATCCGACTATTATCGACCCCTCCCCTGCCCGTACAGAGTGTATTCATATGACGTCACGGCGGCGATATTGGTGTTCCAAAACAATGAAACCGCGGCCATGATAATGTACCAAGACAACCCTGTGGGAATTGAACTCTTTTCTTATGTAAAAACTTTCTTTTGTTCGTATAAATTAGCATAGATGCTGACCACGTGAGTGAATACGCTCTATATTAGCCCCCCTCTGGCTTGTTTGGTAATATCACGCTTAAAGCCTAATTAAAAAACAGTAAATGCAAGACGTATTTTGCCCAGCGCTACCACCCCGTTCAATTTGTTTCGAAGCGCTTTTTCTAGTCCGGTTTTATTTAACCCACCTCAGATATAAGCCCCTCCGTTTATAGACCCTCCTAAAGCTCCTTACGAAGAATTTGTGAGGGGTAGTCTAAGGTATTCTAAATAGATAACTGACTTTCTACACCTGTTGTGGCCGACTGCTGAGTTTGTGCTGGGGACTGGGTGGGTGCTGTCAAATTGCACTATGGGATACAGGGGACAAATTTTGACCCAACCTCTTCCCCAGGGTCTTCTCATATGCCATATTATAAACCGAAAAGACCCTGGGGACGAGTTTGACCCAGACCCAGTTTTCGTTCAAACTAAAAAATGGCGACTAGATGGTGATAAACAGATAAGCGGTTAAAACAAACAAACAAACAAACAAAAAATAAAACAAAGAGGGAAAGAGGAAATGGTCGACGCTAATATCGTCCATTTCTTTATTACTGATAATATTCCGTAGAAATGAGAGAATTACAATATTTAGAATTCTATACGAAAATAATTCTATCTAGCTGTTGGTATTGATATCATCATTAACAACAAGAAAATATTTCGTCGAATAAATAACTTATCTAGCAGAAAGTAAGAATGGACACACATACACACACAAAAAAGATAGAAGTTGGGCATACTTTCAACGGCACACAGGTGCTCTTATTACTAGAGATGAAACGCGGCATCATCGTTGCTAATATTGTAGAACGGTTTTTTGAGCGACCCAAAACCAAGACGAAAGCAATTTCTCTATCCAATCACAGTGTAACCAAATGGGCCAATCAGATCTCGACTCAAGTTCAGGAGGCCGGCGCCCAGCGCGGAAAACTCATGTAAGAAAGTTACGATTGGTTTTTATTTCACATCTAATTGGCTGAGAAAGAGGGACAATTTTTTTTAGCCAATCAGTAAGCGTCAAAATGTAACTCCAAACAGTCACGAAATTGCATTCAGCACTCAATCGAAAAACTGCCCCAGCAACGCAATGTATTACTTTTTTGTTTCTCTTATTTCAAGAAAATGTATTTCATAAGAAAAGGAATGAGTCGTTACCTAAACTAGGAATACTCTACGTATATTTTATAGAGCGTTTTCAAACACTTGGCCAGCAGCTATACAAATTTATTGGAACAAAAGAAAGTTTTAACAAAAGAAGAAGGTTTAAATTCCACAGGACTGGTTTGGGACACCAACCTGGCTGCCGTTTCATTGTTTGGGCACATCAATATTGCGGCCGTGACGTCATGTGAAAACGCTCTATAAGATGCAATCACTATTAGGTGATATACTTTATACACCAAGCTTGCTCAAAGACCAAGAAAATTTGCAACCATGTTGTCTTCTAATAAGCATAGAGCGGTTTTCAATTTCATTATCGAAAAACCAGACACCCTAGAAATAATTCTGGCCAATCAAGATACCCGCTAGCTTTGAGATGACAAGCAAATCAACCAATCAGAAATCGAGGAAAATAAATGTACGCAAGTAATATTTTGTTTGTTTTAAGAACCAAAGCGATAAAACAAGAGTTCAGATAATCAATGAAAGCAGAAACCCGCTCTTTGAAGCCTTCATTGAATTGATGACAGTAATTTCATGAGGCGTTGAGTCCTCTATAGTACAAAAAAAATTGAAAGCCTTCAGAAATACTATTTTAAGTACCTTACAACATGTAGGTTTTTTTACAATATTTACAAGATGGTAGCACGTTATTGGATCAAATTTGACTCTTCATTACATCATATAAGTGTATTTTAAATTGACGCAAAGTAACAACAATACAAACAACTTTATAAAATTACACCTTGCACAAATAAACGGTTTAAGTTTAAGGATACCACGCTTCTAACTCAGGTATTCGACGTCATATTATTATAAGAAACGCTTCGTCAAGTTTCTAAGTAAAGAAAGCTTTACTAGGTCTACTACGGCTTCTTTAAATCATTTGCGTTTTTTTGAGTATTAAACTTGTTGACTAGATGCTGCACTAGTCCCCTCACGACCACATCATCCTTATCCAGTCCCTCAATCAACATGGGTTCCAGGCCCTCTTCGATGTGTTCCAAGTTCTCAGTGAGTGTTTCCTCTAAAGCTTCCATATCATATACGCTCTTGGGCCTCGCTTTACAAGGTTCTTCCGAATCCGGTTTGACTTTCTCCACCGACCAGCTCTGCCGCCGAAAATCGTCCGATCTCCGCCGAGAAGATCCCGAACGCTTTCTTCGGCGCCTTACGAGCTTGTAACTCTCAATCGGGGTGCTACTGAAAGATACCTTTGTGATCTTTTCAATTTTAATTTTTGGGGTGTGGTCGGTGACATCATCCTGGCCGCTTGCAAATGCTAGTGAGCCTGTGCTACCGCGCAGTTTACTTCTATTGCGCATGCGTATCTCGTCCGCTTGCTGTTTGTCCGACACAATTTTGGAATACTGCCTAGCCATTTGATAAACACTAGGCAATAACGACTTCGTTGGCGTAATAACATGTTCAGGCTCGGCTTCGGATGATTCTTTGTCCATGCTGTTTAATTGTCTGCTTTTCTCATTGCCGTCTGCGAAAAGTTCAAACACTCGTTTCTTTACTGGAGTGTTTTCAGTCGCCGGCGTTGAATTTGGTTCATGGTGTTCCTGTGGCACACATTCATCTAAGCGCACAGTAGATCCTGATGGTCTGCTCTCATTTTCGAGCGTTTTTTCACCCGATTTCTCAGAAACGTCAGTGTTTGAATCTGTTGCTTCCAAGCCACCAGTATCACGCTCATTTGGCGCGATTTTTCCGGGCCGTTGCTCCGAAGAAGTTTTCATGTCGCTCGAGTGCGGATCGTCATATTCCCTGGAAAAGTCGACGATTCTCGGACGGCGCCTACGTCTTAAAGAGCCCGTGGGCTGGCCCTCCGCGTCCAACGGTGAGATGTCATTTTTTATCAGCAGAGCAGACTCCAAGAGCTGCGCGTAAGAAATGGTGCGACGAGTTTCGTCCAGGTCTCGATCGATAGAAGCAAGAAGTTCATCTAAATTATGAGAGGAATCTGAGCTGCCGGATTCTTTTCCCGGAGAGGTGCGGGTTTCCACGATGTATCGGGATTGTGCGGGCTGCGTGTGAGACTCATGGGATGTGCTTTTCTCCGGGGGAGGTGACGAGCCGCTGAATGCTCGGCTTACTTTCCGCACAGTCGTCTGTATAGCTGAATACTCCATAAGATCTGTAATCTCCTCGCTATGGCTAAAGACACTTGGAAAGCCTTCGTTTATGTTACGCAAGTCAGTCGTAGATGACGATTTTTCCGCGCTTAGTCTCGCTTCAAGAAGCCGATGCCCGCTACTTGACGTTCGCCTCGGGGGAATGGGACTGATCTTCCCACGCTCGCTTGAAGCCTCGTCATCGGACACACTACTTCCGCTTCTGTTACGTAACGTTTGAAGAGACTCACACCTGGTGAAGCTGCTTGAGCGTTCTCTTGGAATAGGAGGTACCCTTTTTACGGTATTTCCTTCGTTAACGTCCTTTTCAATAGATGGGAGTTCTGTCCCTTGGCTCGCGACATCGTGGTTACCGCTGTTGCGTTCGGCAATCGCGGTCCCCAAAACCTCTCCCTTGCTGTCTTGTACGGAATATCTTGTGGTTTGTTCCGCAGGTTTCTCAGAAACTCCGCTGTCACTGTGCTCGTTATCGTTGCTTTCAGCAGTCGTGTTCCCTAACAGATTCCCTTGGGCGTCCTCTACTGAGCATTTTGTAGTTCCTTTCGTGGATTTTTCGGGATCGCAGCCATCATAACCGCCTTCATGCGCGGTTCCCAACACATTGCCATCAGCGTCCTGAATTGAATATCTTGTAATTTGCTCTGTGGATTTCTTTGCATCTCCACCTTTTTCCTGTAAAGTTAAAGAAATTAAAATGTAAAAAAAGATGGTTAAGTAGTTAAGACTTTTTAAAAAACCTAAATCACCCTGTCGGTTGAGTGAAAACAGCGTTAAAAACGTACCACTGATCTAAATGTTCTTTATTTTACACTTTCTTTGGTTCTCATTTAAAGGCTTTGTGACTGGCTGAAACATATGTTGCACCGCTTTAATAACCAATCAGCAGTAAAATCAAAACAAAACGCGACAAGCACTCTCCGCCGATTGGCGCCGGTTACATGAGTCTCGAGCGATGACTGGCTCATTCTTGAACAGGAAGAGCTTCACCTCAGGTGACCGCACCACCTACCCCTCCCCTACGCCAACATTAACCCTTACTTCTCACTTGGGGCAAAATGTTGGCTTAGGGGAGGGGTAGGTGGACAGTTTCCCAGAAACGTATGATCCAGGACGATCGACAGTCACGTCATGGCAAGCGAGCCCCTAAAGATTCTTTTGATGAACTGATTATTTGAAAATAGAATGAGCCGATGTCACGACTACAACGAAAAAATGAAGTGATACTGGAAACGACTAACGAAGGGCGGTACTCTTAACCTGGTTTGACATAACGCATGAGTAATAAAAGGATATAAACTAAAGTAAGAGTAAACTTACCAATTTATCGCCTTTATTTGTGTCCTGAGCCCTCAGTCCCTGTTCCTCAACTCCCACTTGTCCAGCGGCGGATTCCGATGAGATTCCAGATTCATCCTCATTAGCTTCTTCACATGGTTCCAAATCATCTTCTCTGTCACTGAGAATTGACTGCGGGCCGAGTGATTTCTACATAGAGTAACCAAACAAAATGCAACTGTGAGGCGTGACAGGCACGTGACAAAAACGTGAAGCGCACGTGATAGCAGATAAGGAAAGCCAAAAATGCAACGCTGAAAAGTGAATTCTGTAACTGCACGTACTATTGCACGACTTCTCCTCTCTATTTATAACAATTTTAACAGAGGTCAGTGATTAAAAGCATAGTTTTGAAACTTTTCTAGAGTATTTGGTCGTCAGATCAATTACAGGGAAATTTGCCGCTAATAACCAAATTTTCAGAGCGTAAAAACAAAACACTGAACGGCAAAATACAATTGCACGAAATTTGTTTAGGGCAAATATGATGCAAAAAGTGCAATATGAGGAGTAAATCAAGGCTAGAGATGCCTGCTTCTTTAGAACCCTGAGTAAATTAGTATGCAAATGTGACATTTATAACGTTTCCTCCTGATTTACTCCGAGTTTGCCCCTTTTTCCATCGTGTTTTGTCATCCAGTTAAAGAAGCGAATAACACAACGCGAATACCTTCTCGTCGTCTGAGGAGTACACGTCTGATGGTGGTCGGGGTTCGCCTTCATCATCTGACTTCTTCTCTGCGTCCTAACAGTACGTAAAGATTACAGTGAAAAATTTACAACACTAAAAAGGTTTCGCTACTTATGTACAATTGTTCTCAATAAGCGTAATTGTCGACAGCTTTTAATATAACAGCAGGTTTTTAACCTAAAACCCAAAGTTATCAATTTTACTAATCACAGTCGACAAAGATACTTCAGTGAACCAATCAGATCAAACAATTAAATGTAGCTGGCGTAAAGCGCGGGAAAACGCCGGCATAGCGAAGCAATTTGTTTTGCGTTCCTTATGATTGGTTGAAACAAAAGGGCGAGGTTTTTTACAGCCAATCACCAGGCGTAGCGATGCCAAACCAGGAAATCGAACGAAAAATTACTCTCGAGAATAGCGACCTATAGGTTTGTTATAGTAGGAAGTCGAGCACGAGTACATTAATTTTTTTAGGAATTTTTAGCCAGTTACGTCCTTGAAACTCTCACTTTTTCCTGTTGCCGATTAGCTAAAAAAGAACATAAGGGATAAAGACTTGTGTGGCAAGTGATTCTTTAGCCTGCGCCATAGACGAAACTAAACTCTGGTTAAGTCCGTCTGCGAAACAGCGCCAAAATCCTTGTTCCGGGCCCTACCTGAGTACCAGGATTTGAGTACGCGCCATGATTGGCCTATTAAAAAAGCCATTGTCAATTAGCCAATCAGCATGAAAGGAAATTCGAAACGTACTTTCGGTAATTCGTTGAGTCCGTTGGGGACCCAGAACAAGGATATTGGCACTGCTTCGCAGACGTTACTAACTGGGGTTAAATTACGTCTACGACACAGGTTAGTGATTCGTTAGAGCACACGGACTGGAATGAAAACCCGTAGTCATATTTAATCTGGTATCCATAGTCCAGTCCAAAGGTCCTTACTTTCTTTATGCCACGTGTTTCTTATTTGTGTAAACGTACCTTCTTGTTTTTCCTGCTACTCCTAAGAGGTGATCCTTTACGAGAGAAAAAAAAGTCACTAAATAAATTACATCTTGTGTAGAAGACTAAGGGGATTGTACGCAAAACGGCAAAAATTGGCGGGAAAAATGCAATCATAAACGGAATTCACGGGGGCCGATCTGCCACAACCATTTTTTGTTGTTGTTGGACGAATATCAGTTAATTTATCAGCAAAAGCCGGACAGAAGAAGAGGAAAAAGTTTCTAAATAGAAAAAGGTCATGCAAAAAGTTTATAGAAAAACAGAGCAAGAACAGAATAAAACCATTGGCTTGATGTTTAATATCTGTTTGAAGATAATAAAGGCAAAAAACACAAGCAAAGATTGAAAGATCGGATAAAAATCAATGAAGACTGCTTAGCCAATTACGAAATTTTTTTTAGTTATAATTACAAATTACAAAGAAGCGTTGCGTAATCACTCCAAAAATAACCCGATAAACAAATTCTTTACTCTAAATGCTAATATTTATGGTTAGCAAATTAAGTTATTGGTTCTAACCGGAAACAAGGCCCCGCCTTTCGTGATTAGTGTGCCGTTGGAAAATTTAAGGGATTGAATCAATGAAGGCCTTAATCCTTGGCGAAGTTAAAAACTTAATATAAGACCTATAGACACATTTATTAAATGCAGTAATTAGTCAGAGGAATTATAGTTTATCATTACCTTAACATTACCTTATCATACCTTTATGATTATACGTAAAGTTGCGAGGAACACTGCTGAACTCAGAAAAACGTTCCATGTTTAAAGGTTTACATTTTAAGTTCATCTTATTCATTAGATTTCCTTGCAAAGAAGCATTTATCCTTCTGTTTACAGCTTCTAGAGTCTGTGTGTTATACGGTTTAGCAAGCTTTTGGTGGAGCCAGAGGCAAGCGTTTCTATTGGCTAGTTCATAAGCAATCCGATCCAGTCTCTTAAGTTCTAACTCGGAGTTATTAAAGGCCGTTTGTTCGAGTATTCGGTGGATGCCGTTGTACGATGTCCGCAAGCGATTAACATCTACAAAATCTGCCGTTACGGTAACAAGAAGGCGAGAATTGTTCAGAGCTGGAAAAAGGAAAATAATAAGCAAAACAAAATGAACCAAAATAAAGGTGTGAACAGTTATTAAAAATGATGATGATGATGATGATGATGATGATGATGATGATGATGATGATAAAAACAATGACGATGACGATGATGATGACGGTGATGATGATGATGATTTACAAGTAACTTTTAACAATTTTTAAAAAACGTTACAGTTCAGGGTTATTTGAGGTTATAACACCGAAATGTGAAGGTCCGCAAAATTGAAAAAAGAAAAGATAAAAAAAGAAACTGATTTTGGATTTGTTTAACCGAATCTAAACAGAATACCCAGGTAAGTAATTCATCAAAATGTGACTGATATAGAAGATATTACATGAAAGCGCTCAGATACGAAATTTCTCTTCGACTGTTGAAAAATAATTCACGAGTAAGAAAATAAATCGAAATTTACCTTTCAGTTGATGAGCTCCTCTGTTTAGCTTCTCACCAGGTCTTGACCTTTTCTTGCCTTCGTTATCATGGTTTTCTGTAGATTCAAGGACATGTATATTATTTCATGAATTCTTCTACGAAAGTGACTTTTGTTTGTCCGAACACTTAGGATGCACTTTATTATTAAATACCTAATCTCAGATTTTTGGATTCGTTACGACAAAAGACACCAAAATCGGGCGATGGGTGATTCTTTCGCGAGACACCAATCAGTGGAGCGAACCGGCGAGAACCTAACGGGCTTCACAGTAACTTGTAAGGTGCCTTTTTTCCGGACCTGTACCCAAAGAAACGCACTAATCTAACAAATACAATTAGTGTGGATTCTTTAGATTCAAAATCTAGTTAAGAATCGTTTTGGGATAGCTCGGCATATGTGTATTTTCTGCTGAGTTGTTTGCACTTGCCAATGACAGCCTTTCACTTTCTGTGCAATTAATTAAGTTGGTAGTAGATATAATAAGCTGGTCTACGTACCGGTGCGTAGGAAAACAAAACAATCTTAAATAATTACCTTGTTCGCCTCTTTCCTTGACTTCTTTTTTACCTAGAATTAGGGCTTTTGCCTGAAAGAAATTAAAAGTTACAGTGAATACTAACTACTACTACTACTACATTAAGAATGAGGACGACTTCCTCCCTCTTTTCTGCCATTGTGTTCATGCTTTGGCTTAAAAGCCGGCGTGGTATGTCAGCGGATGTCCTAAAAAGCGCAGGACGAGTAGACTGTTCCCTTATAATTTGCTTTTTGGTTTAATTGTTTGTTTGTTCCTCTCGCATGATGACGAGATTAGCAAAAATAAGGAACGTATTGTAACAGACTTGTTAAGGAAGATATTCAGGATACACCTCACCGCAGGTGGTTTTCATGAATTTTGGCCCAGGTTCCTTAAAATTCCAATTAAATTCAATACGATAATGAGTACGATGAAGCATTCGAGAGACAAAAATGAAGACTCAGATAGAGACAAGTGAGAAGATGAAATCTGTCCTATGGAAATGACAGTCAAAGGAACTAATTCTCCAGTATTCACATAATACTATTTGTTTATCAACATCTAACAAAATAAGACATTAATTTTGAGAAGTATGAAGTTCATGGATAGGAGAAAACTAAATACAGCGACTCCAACAGTTTTACCTCTTTGGGGACTTGTGCTGTTAAGCTGTCCACAATTAACCCCTTGAGTTCAAGGGTCCACTTTCGTTTCTGCTCAGCATTTCTTGCCTATTGAAACGGAAACGAGAAGCACGATTGTAAAATTATTTCGCCATTCCTTCGTGACGCAAGGTGTTGTTATAGTTGTCCTCAAATTGTCCTTCAGTTAATATTACCGGTTTCTGAATCCCTCGTTAAATGAGATAGGGGTTCAGTGGCCAAAAAAACAAAAATTCACAAAAGTTGCAATTTCTTATTGTAAAATCCTAAGAAATAAACAGCACCACGCAAAAGATCTGCCAAAGAGCTTTCATTTGAATAGTAACACCAGAGGATTTCATCCTCAGACGCAAAAGTTAGAACTACATACTAAATAAATAGCACCATGTGAAAGTACTGCTCAGTAGGTTTCATTTAAATGGTAAAACCGTAGGATTTCGTCCACCGACTCAAAAGTTAGAACCACATACTAAATAAATAGTACCATCGTGATGCAGAAGTACTGCTGATGAGGTTTTATTTGAATGGTAACACCATAGGATTTCGTCCACAGATTTAAAAGCTAGAAAAGTTTCAGTTTAAATAACATGGTCTTGGGGTAAAGACTATACTGAGCGTAAGTTGAGAAAGGTCTTTTACAACAAGGCTAACTTTTCGTTACTCATTACCATCCAGTTTTCCTACAGTTTATCTGGATGGCCAATGACAAAAGATGCAGGACAAATTTTTCAAATCCCCATTGCAGAAATGGTTAGATCCTTTCAGCGCAACGATTTCTGGGATAGTTTGGGTAGACCAGCGTTACTTATGACTGGTTAATGCTTGCCTTGAATACCATCGACCAATTGTAACAACGCTTGTCTAGCCAAACAATCCCAGCGATCATTGTGCCCAAAGCTTGTACCCATTCTTCTTAGAGTTACACAAGTGGGGAATGACCACTTACCAAAAATACGAAACTGTTCTTCTGATTATCAAAGCGTATTATCTCAAAAGCAAGTGGTTCTTTAGGTATTGACTCTGACAGCATCATGTTTGACAACTGATGAATAAAGAAACAAAACAATCGAAAGTGTTGCAAAATGAGATTTTGTTAATTATTGCATTTAATCTAGGGAGGCAGTGTGACAGAGTGGTCAGCGTGTCGCACTAGCAATCGGAAGGTCCCGAATTGAGCATTCTCGTTAGGCCAGGGGCCCGTTTCTCGAAGCTCCCGGTAATTACCGGGCCCGTTAAGCTGTTTTGTTTTCCATTTTAGAAGGGAGTTTTAAAAGTTTTGAAAATTATACAGTAGAGTTATTAGCTAACGAAACAAAATGGACTTCATTAGAGGTCAGAACACACCCTACTTTTCTTGAGACTTTGATTTAAAAATATGATTCCGGGCCCGTTAAGTTACCGGGACTTTCGAGAAACGGGCCCCAGGGCTCAAAATAATTTTCGGAAGATGGCCGGATATGTTGACCGGCCAAAGAAATTTTGGTAAGATTTCCGCACAGCCCCATGCATATATTATGCATCCTGCCGAACCGTGTTCATCTAGTGTTTCTTTCATAGTATTTTTTTGTGAGGTTAAAGATTGTCTCGTTTCGTTTAGCGTTGTGGAAAATCGTGAACAGTTTTTGGCCGTTCAAGCCACCATTCAGGTCGGACATCATCCCTTGAGGCCGGCCGTCACGGTTATTTTGAGTCTTGTAAGTCCCAATCTTAGCTTCTCGGCCGCGTTCGTAAATAGCCAAGTGGTTCGCCTCCTTCTAGTATAGGTTATTTACTTTTAATCATGTTTGATTGGGATTTTTTCTTTCGATTATTTGCCTGTAAACCATAGCAAGAGCAGCTAACAAAACGTCTACGAGTATATGTAAACAAGGCGTCATTTAAACAAGCAAAGTATCATCAAGCATTTTCCAGAGGATGCTCACCATCAAAGATGCTTTGCAAGAATAGCCACCTTCCTTCCGTTTTGTAATGAGGAGGATTTTCTCGAATAGGAACAAATGCCTGTCAGTTCTGGTGTTATGAATCCGGAAGGTATCCTATCAAGAAGGCAATAAGTTGAAATTACTCACTTGATAACATTTCATGGGCAACATGGTTGTTTAACATTGACATTGAAGGGAGTTAAAGCAAGGACGCTTTTGAGCGACGCACGTCAATCGGAAGTAGACTTTTTGCAATTTTGGAGCGTGATTTTGACCAAATTTTCGGGTAAATCGTCTCTATGAGAGAAAATACACTTGGGAATATACATTT